TAAAGCTTACCTGTAGGTGAAATGAATACCTCCTAAAGGTGCAGTGTTTAGCAGATATTTGCTCTTTTTATTAGCTGGCACATGCGCTCTGAAGTTACGGTATAGCTGTGCTGTTCCTTCAGAGCACTGTGCCGTGTCCTGAGACTCCTGCGCATATGCTCAGGAGTGACGTCATCGCAGCTCGGCAAGTCAGATGGCTGGAACTCGCGAACCTGGAAAGAAGGAATACCAGGTGAAGATGGAAGCCTTTGCAGCGGGGACACCATGCCGCTGGGGGGCTTCATTTTAAGGTAAGTCCTGCATAACGTGCTAGTATGAAATGCATACTAGCACATTATGACTTTACCTTCCAGGGGATTTTAAATATTTTTTCTCTCAAGCTGCAGTTTACTACCACTTTAACCTGGCCATAGATGGATGGAAATTTGGCCTGTTCAGCAATGACCAGCTAAATTTTCAATCCGTGTATGGCTGCTCCCACTTTACAGATGTTGATCTACCAGTTGTATTGGATCGGTTTGTTGAAAATTTTTTTTTTTCACGGCTGCTGCAGCCAATGTAATATCCAATCTGACAGGAAACTCTAAGGGGTTTATTTACTAAAGCTGGAGAGTCCAAAATCAGACTCCCTTCTGCATAGAAACCAATCAGCTTCCAGGTTTCATTGCCAAAGCTTCATTGAACAAGCCTAGGTTAGAAGCTGATTGGTTTCTATGCAGAAGGGAGTCTGATTTTGGACTCTCCAGCTTTAGTAAATAAACCCCTAAGAGTCCTCACTGTCAGAATACAAAGTCTCAATGGGGATAATTTCTTTATCTACCTCAATTGTGTGTAAGGAGGAATCCTTACTTTTTTTTCCCATACATTCACTGGCTGAACGAGAAAAACAACCTATCTATGGCCAGCCATTGTTACAGGCCGCATGCTATCTAAATAATTACCCTGAGAAGCTTTTCACTCCACTCCACTATTCAGCTCCTCAAGCATGTTGACTAAACCTTCGACATTGAAAAATCCTTATTTAAAATGAAAACCTAAATCACTGACAATAAAAGCAAAAAATATAAGCACGCATTTAAATCGACAGTCATGGGTCATGAAAAACATCCTTCGAGTTGCTATTTTAGAGTTCTAGAATACATCTGCCTTTCATTTATTACAACCTTCTAGAAAATCTGGAGATCTTTAAGAACAAAAACAACAATCCATCAGCAGTAGTCATCTAATGGTGGCTGAACCTCTGTCCACATGCTTTAGTTTAATGACGCAAACCTGAAACGCAAATGTATGGTTTGGTGTGGAGGAAAGCCGCGGTGTTTGTAAACTCTGCAGCGGTCTCAGTATAGATATGAGCAGTATCCATGTCTGTTTTCTAACTCCGCATAAGCAATCACAGCATTGTACCCCCATATCTGAGATGTAGGTATTGGGGTACAGACAGACACACAACACTTGCCTTCATGAGAAGCCACAGATGTAGGCAGAGGACCCCGGGGTCACCTCCTTCCCGTCCTGATGTCCCAGGATCCTAATAGATTCCCCACAGCTGCCTGTCATGGAGCAAAGCAAGGAGCTCACCCTTGGCAGAGGGACGTCTGCAGCCTCTCTTCTCCGCTACACCCACGCAACTAACAAGAAAGTCCAGAAACTTAACCCGCTCTCCCTGTTTTCTGCAGTTCTCCCTCCGAGTTGTCACTGCAAGAACCCAAGCAATGCCTCTCAAGGCCATCCATTCATCCAGAGGGCTGAACAGGATAAAACAACTCCGCAGAGAAAACTTTCACTTATCAAAGGTTTAACAAGAGGAAATCTTTACACAGCAATTATAGGCAACGACCAAAACTATTCAATGAGCTACTAATGCTTTCCAGCAAATACTGCAGGTGTGATCAAATCTGATATTCTCTCAGTTCACCTTTTGTTTGAATGAAGGTTGTACGGTAAGATTGGAACATGTATGGTGCCCCTTTAGCAAGAACTCAATTCAACTTTACATAGTTAGTCTGGCTGAAAAAAGACAAACGTCCATCCAGTTCAACCATTTAAAAAAAAAAAGTTATAATCCTATACCCACAGTTGATCCAGAGGAAGGCAAAAAAACCCAGCAAAGCATGACCCAATTTGCTCCTGCAGGGAAAAAAATCCTTCCTGATCCCCCGAGAGGCAATCGGATATTCCCTGGATCAACTTTACGTATAAATGTTAGTATCCAGTTATATTCTGTGTATCTAAGAAAGAATCCAGGACTTTTATAAAGCAATCCACTGAGCTGGCCAGAACCAACTCTTGAGGGAGTCTATTCCACATTTTCACAGCTCTTACTGTGAAGAAACCTTTCCGTGTTTGGAGATTATATTTCTTTTCCTCCTCTTTCCCCCTTGTCCTCTCTGACTTTAGTTTTACCAAAAACTATGTAATATCCAATCAGGCAGGCCGTTGTAATACACAGTTGTTAGTAGGTCTAAAGGAGATTCTACAATCAGATTTTAACCTCTTAATACGTTGAAGTCAGAATCCTGAAAACACCTCACAAGGGCAGTGGGAGCATACTTCCAGAAACCTGTGTTGTGTGGCCACCCCTGCTTCCTGTATGACCAATCACATTCAGACCCCCAGGGTAGGTTTGCAACCTGATTGGTAGCTAAGAGAATTGTCATTCTGCAGGCAGCTTTGTTCTTTTAAAGTAGAAATATAGGTATTTTTAACCCCATTCAGTTTTTTTGCCATCTGTGTCCCATTGGAGAGATTTATCTTTACTTCCTGATCTCTAGCTCCCTTGTCTCCTCCTCCCATGCTCATCTCCAGGACTTCTCCAGAGCTTCCCCCATCCTCTGGAACTCTCTACCCCAATTTATCAGACTATCGCCTACTCTGCTCACTTTTAGGCAATCTCTGAAAATCTCTCTTTTCAGGGAAGCCTATCCTGCCCTCAGCTAATAATGGAACCTTCTATTCCTCCTATCAGTCCATCCCCCACAGTTGTACCACTAGCCCCTCCCTCTTAGATTGTAAGCTCCAAGGAGCAAGGCCCTATTAACCCTCTTGTATTGAACTGTATTGTTGCTGTATTGTCTCCCTTTATATTGTAAAGCGCTGAGCAAACTGTTGGCGCTGTATAAATCCTGCATAATAATAATAATAACTTCCTGTCCTATAGCCAAAACAGGAAGTGAGAGGAAATCCCTCCGAAGAGAGGAAATCCCTGGTTATCACCAGGACTAGTGTCCCCTCTGTTCCTGTTCTGGTGACAACCCAATATTGGAGATTTTCTTTCATTTTCAGTGATGACAGTAAACAGGACACATAGAGAAATTGAGAATCTCCCTAACAAGGGCACAAACAGCTATAAAAACCTGACAGATGTTCTAGCCCCAATTCACTTTTGTCTTTAGTTATACTTTAGGCTTTTGTTTTTTAGGGATATTCACACATGCCTGCACACAAAAAATGTTCTGTTGCAGCTTGCAGGCTGGTGTCCGTTCTCTGATGGTGGTGGGGAGCGGGCCTGTATACACTTCAAGGTTTTAAATAAAACTTCAAACATAATTTTAAAAAAAATGAACACCCCACAAGACAAAAACAGCTTTTGCTGCAATACTCACCTTCAGTTTGGAGTTGTCCCTGCTGTATTTATTTTCTGCCTCAAGACGTCCCCAGTCTCCATGGATAAATGATGGCCAGCATCGTTCAACCCACTTCCCCTGAGCCCAGGTTGTCATGTATCTGTCACAAGCATGTGCTGAACAGTGAAGCAGAAGCATCACAGACAGCTTGTTGCTCTGCTTTCTCATCTCTTATCAGACTGCTCCTTGTCAGCACATAAACTGATTGGCTCTCTGTGCTACATCTTTCTCTCCCAGTCTGAGCTCTGCTGTACAGGGAATGTAACAGGCTGATTTCAAATTCAATGCGGGTACTTACACTGCTTGCATAAAAAGTACATTTAATGAGGAATTATCCACTTGCCTACCGAGCACTTTCACCCCCTTCCTGCCCAGACCAATTTTCAGCTTTCAGCGCTCTCACACTTTGAATGACAATTGCGCAGTCATGCAACACTGTACCCATTTGAATTTTTTGGCATTTTTTTGGGACAGACAAAACTTTTTTTTTGGTGGTGTTTATTCACCACTGGGATTTAAATTTTTTTGCTATATAAATGAAAAGGTCTAAACATTTAAAAAAAAAGTATTTTTCTTATAAAATTTTGGCAAATAAATAATCATTGTTCATAAATCTTGGCCAAAATGTATTCAGCTATTATATAAAAAGTACATTTAATGAGGAATTATCTACTTGCCTACCGAGCACTTTTACCTCCTTCCTGCCCAGACCAATTTTCAGCTTTCAGCGCTCTCACACTTTGAATGACAATTGTGCGGTCATACAACACTGTACCTAAAATACATTTTTATTTTTATTTTTTTAAACAAATAGGGCTTTCTTTTGGTGGTATTTAATCACCACAGTTTTTTTTTTTTTTTTTTTTTGCTAAACAAACAATAAAGACCAAAGATTTAGAAAACATGCGCAACTGAGTATAGGTACTGTGCCTGCATGCTAGAATGACTGAGCATGTGCGAGAGTTATGTCATCTCATGCAACCTTGTCAAAGTGGGCAAAGACTGGCACCTGGAAGAAGCCAAGAAGAAGGTGCTGACTTTGGCATTGGACCACTGGAGAGAAGGTAAGTAAAAACTTGTTTTTACTGCCCCAATGACAAGTATGAAGAAGCTCTTACACAGTTTTCATTGAAACCAGTGTCCTTATTGGAAGATTTCCCCTAAACTACTGATTCCACAAAAACTCTAAAATATTGGATTCCCCGTCACTTTCCGTACCGGAGACAATGGTCACCAGTTAAAATAGAAGAGTGAATCTGTTGTGTGGGGACACAGGCAGCAATAAAAAGCTGATAGCAGGTTTTAACACGTCCATACACATACAAAGTGAAAAGAAAGTTTGGGCTTTACATACACTTTACTTTTTCATGTTAAAGTGGTGCTTACCTTAAAGGGAACCTGTACAGAAGGAAATATAGCAGCTGCCATTACCAACTTTTTTAAAGTTACATGCACTGCAGCTGTCACCTGCATCCTTGCATTACTAGTTAGTAAGTCAGTGACCTGGACCTGACATCTGACATGCACACATTTGTTCCTGATCAGCCTGTTATCTATGTCTGTTTTGACAGGTTCCTTGGTTGCCATGTTTTTTTTTTTCATTGTATTTATTTTAGAGATTTCTAGATTGGTCTCTAGAGGGAGATTTGCATTTCACAATAATCACCTTAGCTGCTGAGATAAGGTATTGGCCACCCAGAGAGAGTACTGTTTTCACTGGGTCAGGCAAGACCCATAGACTTGCACTGAGAGAGATGAACCAAAATGCACTGCCACTGTACAACATTTTAAAGTAGGCAGGCTGTCTTCAAGGAAAGAGGCCTTCATTAAGCGTTCTACTGATTCTGACACTGACCAGCTTAATGTTATAATAGAAAGCTGAGGACAGATATGACATGGAAGTCATTTGGTGTATATGTTTACTACCTTTGCATCCTCCTCCCCAGACAATCACACATTTTTTTTACCTGAGAATAGCACATACGATGCTCGCCCAGTAAAACTACAATGAGCCTTCATTATGAAGATTCACCTTTCTATCACCACCTTGTGTACACAGTGAGACACATGGGGTGGCATTGTGCCCGGAGCCCTCTGTGAATTCCTGCGCACCACTCAGGCATGTGGACAGATCAGACCATTTTCAGGGCCAGAAAAGCTGAGTATATGATGTTGGGGAGGAGAAGCTTTAAAGTGAACCTATTGTTGGTTTGCTTTAAAGACAACAATATGGAACCTAACAAGTTGACTTGTTTCTAAAGATGAATACCCTGGGTGTTCTCATCCTTATCTAGAATTACTTAGTGAGCGAATGATCCTGAATAAGAATGTTAATATTATTAGATTTCTCGACACTTGATATGTACATGCTTAATCCAAGTCAGTGACTCACCAAGGAAAGATAAGAATGGCAGAGTAGACTCTCTCCAGGATGGGCGCGATACAGAATTCTACCCTTCTAATGTTACCTTAAAGGACACCTGTACTGAGAGGAATATGGAGGCTACCATTGCTGACCTTCTAAAATTGCTATTAGTCTGGCTATTTCCTGCTGCAGTAAGAGTCAGATGTTTGGCTCCTGCAAATTCCAATCCAGTCCTGTAAATCAATGACCACTAGTGATCAAGTGGGTATAAATTTGTGTGCAATATAGACCATTGGCTATCACTGATAAAGGGGCTATGTGCAGCATAGAAAATGGCCAACAGTGATAAAGAAGGGTATTTATACATGTGCATTACAGACCACTGGCCTCCAGCATCAAAGGGGGTATATATAGGTCTCCTGCAAATTCCAATCCAGTCCTGTAAATCAATGACCACTAGTGATCAAGTGGGTATAAATTTGTGTGCAATATAGACCATTGGCTATCACTGATAAAGGGGCTATGTGCAATATAGTCAATTGGCCACCAGTGATTAAGAGGGTATAAATACATGTGCAATACAGACCACAGACCACTATTGATTAAGAGGGTATACATGTGCAATCTAGACAACTAACCACCAGTGATAAAGGGGGCATTTTTACATGTGTACTATAGACCACTGGCCACCAGAAATGAAGGAGGTATTTATACATGTGCAATATAGACTACTGGCCACCAGTGATAAAGGGGGTGTAAATACATTTGCAATATAGATCACTGGCCAGCAGAAATGAGGAGGGTATTTATATGTGTGCAATACAGACAACTAGCTACAGGTGATAAAGAGGGTTTTGGTACATTTGCAATACAGACCACTGGCCTCTAGCGATAAAGGGAGTATAAATACTTCTGCAATATAGACAACTGGCCACCATTGATTAAGAGGGTATAAGTACATGTGCAATATAGATAACTAGCCACCAGGGGGGCTTATTCTACATGGGTAATATAGACCACTGGCCACCAGAAATGAAGGGGTATTTATATTTGTGCAATATAGACCACTAGCTACCAGTGATAAAGAGGGTATTTATATATGTGTAATATAGACTACTGTCCACCAGTGATAAAGGGGGTATAAATAAGTGCAATATGGACAACTGGCCACCGGTAATAAAGGGGTATTTATACATGTGCAATACAGACCACTGGTCTCCAGCGATAAAGGGGGTATAAATAGGTGTGCAATATCGACCACTGGCCACCAGTGATTAAGAGGGTATACATATGTGTGCAATATAGACCACTGGCCACCATTGATTAAGAGTGTATAATTCCATTTGCAATATAGACATCTGGGCAGCAGTGACCATAACATGATTTAATTTATTGTTAGCTGTAAACAGCAAGTACATACGGGAAAAATAAAAATGCTCAATTTTAAGAGAGCTAATTTTCCAAGGCTGAGAGCTGCTCTCCAAGACTTAGACTGGGAGAGAATATTGGCATCGATGACCACACCACAGAAATGGGAGTTCTTCAAAAAGACTGTATGTGAACACACTGCAAAATATATTCCCATGGGCAACAAGTTTAAAAGGCTAAAAATCAAACCTGTGTGGCTTACGGCTAATGTTAAAAAAGCTATAGATAATAAGAAAAGAGCTTTTATTAAATATAAAAATGAAGGAACACCATCATCGTTTAAACATTACAAAGAATATAACAGAATATGCAAAAATTGAAAACAAACAACAGATTGTAAAAGATAGCAGGACAACCCCCCAAAAATTCTTCAAATATATCAATATTAAAAATGTTCGGTCTGAGCATGTCGGCCTTTAAAATAATCTAGAGTGGGTGACTGGGGACAAAGAGAAGGCAAATTTATTAAGTACCTTCTTCAGCTCCGTGTATACAAAGGAGCATGGGGGAGCTCTTGTCCATAATGGGCATGGTATTGACCAGGGGTGGACTGACAACTCATGGGGCCCCCGGGCAATAGGGGATCATGGGGCCCCTGTGTCCTTGCCCAAACTCAAAAAAGCCTATGAAAAAGGTACCAGGGGCATTTCATGGGGCCCTCTACTGACCCCGGGCCCTCGGGCAGTGCCCAAGTTTCCAAATGGTCAGTCCGTCCCTGGAATTGACACAGCTGCAGATGAACCACATTGGCACATTAGCACTGATCACTGTATTGGTGTCACTGGGGATGTCAATGACACTAAGTCAGTTCCCCCAGTGTCAGAATGCCCGTTGCAGTCCTGCTATAAGTCGCTGATCACCACCATTACTTGTAAAAAAAAAAAAAAAATTACAGTATCTATACCGCCATTTATTAATGCGAAAACTTTCACATAAGCCATTTAATTTACACATATTGGGATTTTTTTTAGCAAAGACATGTCGCAGAATACATTTTGGCCTAAATTTATGACGAAATATGATTTTTTTTTTTATTTTGTTACTGGGACATGTTTAGTAGCAAACAATCAAAAATATTGTTTTTTTCTCAAAATTGTCAGTCTTTTTTTTATAGCAGAAAAAAACTAAAAATGCACAGGCATTCAAATACCACCAAAAGAAAGCTCAATTAGTGGGAAAAAAGGACTTAAATTTAATTTGGGTGCAGCGCTGCATGACCGCGCAATTGTCAGTTAAAATAATACAGCGCCATAACGCAAAAAATGGCCTGGTCAGGAAGGGGGGTAAAACCTCAGGAGGGCAAGTGGTTAATTGGGCAACTATGTGGCAAAAGGTTTAATGTTGATAAATGTAAGGTTATGCACTTGGGGGTTAAGAATATGCATGTATCATACATACTGGGGGGGGGGGGGGGTACAACTGGGGAAATCAATGGTGAAGAAGGATCTGGGGGTTCTGGTAGATCACAAGCTTAATAATGGCATGCAATGCCAAGCTGCAGCTTCTAAAGTGAGCAAAATCCTCTCTTGTATTAAAAGAAGTATAGACTCCAGAGAGAGAGAGATCATAATATCCCGGTACAAATCAATAGTAATACCTCATCTGGAATATGTAGTTCAGTTTTGAGCACCAATTCACAAAAAAAACATTGGGGAACTGGAGAAGGTACAGAGAAGGGCAACCAAACTGATAAGAGGCATGGAGGAGCTTAGTTATGAAGAAAAGGGAGCGAGGGACTAAATTTATTCTCTTTTGAGAAGAGGGATGATCACAAAGGAATTGTTTTCCCCTGCAGGAGCAAATTGGATCATGCTTTGCTAGGTTTTTTGCCTTCCTCTGGATCAACTGTGGGTATAGGATTATAACCTTTTTTTTATGGTTGAACTGGATGGACTTTTGTCCTTTTTCAGCCAGACTAACTATGTAACAACTTGCCACCAGTGATAAAGGAGGGTATACATATGTAGAAATACCCTCCTTTATCACTGGTGGCAAGTTGTCTATATTGCCACTGGCCACCAAAAATGAATGGCGTATTTATACGTGTGCAATATAGACCATTGGCCATCAGTGCTAACGAGGGTATTTATACATGAGTAATATAGACTACTGTCCACCAGTATTAAAGGGGGTGTAAATACATGTGCTATATAGACCACTAACCACCAGGAATGAAGGGGGTGTTTATATGTGTGCAATATAGACCACTTGCCACCAGAAATGAGGCGGTACTTATACTCTATGTGTCCAATATAGATCATTGGCCAGCAGTAAAAACAAGCATGTTATTAGAGGTGGAAATGCCAGAAGCTGCAGAGATTTCACCAAAAAGGGAAGAGCAATGCCAAGTGGTGGGAAGATTCACATAAAAAATTTTACTATGTGGCCCTGTGATTAGTTACACCCATGGTTATTGGTCTAAAATCAGAACAGGATGTACACAGGCTCTTGATACGAACAGTATGTAAAGGACAAAAGGTACAAAAATTCCATTCAGTAGTAAAAAGCCCAGGATAAAATACTGAGACAGGATTTTCCTCTTGGAGGCATTCCAGATGCCCCGTTCCCTCCTCAATGCTTCCACCTGTTACAAAGCATCATTTATCACACTCCAAATGTCCTCTCCTCTATCAATGGGCACCAGAAGCCATATACAGTACAATACATTTCTACATTGCAACCATTCCTGTAGAGGAGACCATAAAGTATGCATCAGCTGAAGGACTGGTTGGGCATTGATTGTCTGAATCACTAGCTGGATTATTATATTGCTGAGAGACTGTAAAGAGAAGATTTCCCAGAAGATATGCGGCTCTGCTCTCATACAGATGCATGGCCATTTTCAAAGGAAAGCTGTAAAGAGATCAAAATGTAGGCTGCCATTGCTGACCTCCAGTTTTGAAAATGCTGTCATGCTGATCCAATGGATGTTATATATTGTGAGCCACTGCTCTGACCTGGCACAAGTAGTTAGACCAGGAGTTCTGATTTCGCTTGCTGAATGCTTTCTGATCCAATGACTCAGAAAGTTCTATAACGAGAGACTGGCAAACTGATAACATGCTTAAAAGGAGGTCAGCAGCAGCAGCAGCAGCAGCCTCCATATTTAACTTGTTAAAGGTTTCCTTTAAAGTGGACCTGTTCTGTCTCAAGCAGGGGAATATATTGAGACTGTCCTGTCCACAATATCAAATTTGACCACTAGATGGAGCTGTTAATAAAATGTACTGTTTTATAGAAACTAGAGACTGTTTAGTTAAGAGTTAATAGAAATTCCCATAACTCTGAGATGCATCTTGGGAGCTCAGACTCTAAGAAACTGGAACCAGCTATCAGAGCATATGTTGGACAAAAACTTGCATCCTTTTGCTTCCCCTAAAGGCAGCATCGCTGGTGAAAATCACTTATCGCCATCTACTGTATAGCCTATCTATTAATTTTTGTTTTCTGCATGTTCGGACATTGATTATATGTACAGTATTTCATATTTGTTTTTTCCTAATAGATTAATCTACCCTGTTTTGTTAATAAAGCTTCAAGATTCAGTTTGGATTATTGCAGAATAGGAGGGTTTACACACAGGGAAACATGTAGCGAGAACAGAACAGGACCTATACTGAAAAATGAATACATCTTTATTTTAACATCCAGGGACAATTTTGCACAGATGAATTATTATTAATATAGAATGTCACAAATTAGCGCAGGCAGAGATCTCACTGCTGTTCAGTACCGAGTACACAATTGTCCAGGAGGACAGGGAGCACAGGGCCCACCATTGTGTAGGAAAGCGTGTTACGAAATCTGGTCCCGGCCGTCAGAGGGTGAGGATAGGCTCTGAACAATGGAGGTTTGTGCTGTATAGGTCACAGATTGGAGTACAGTCAGCTCCTGTTGTGTCCCAGTCATAAGCCTATGACTGCTATTTGCTCACTTCTACCGACAAAAACAAATGAATAAACATGGTTAATGATAATAAACCTCTCATATACAGCAAAGGTGGAAGGACTTTCTGAGCTGCGGAGGAGGGCAATCTGAGTAACTTGACCTCTAAGTGCATTTCCAGGAATATTTACCATTTCATTTTTAGTTTCTTTTTACAAAATTACTACTTGTTGTTTTTCAGTTTCAGTAGCTCACCACTGTTAGTCCTCTGTGTTGGGTCTTTGACATCGAAAATAATGTGTGCCCCTAAATTCCCTGACCTCTGAACCACCCCTAATAGTAAATTTGACTTCAACAAATACATTAAAACTTCACCTAACCTTAAAAGTACACTTAATAAATAATTCCATGTATGAATATTTTTAAATCGTTACATGGATCAATTAACTATGCATATGCCATACCTAGGAGATCCCTCTAGAACAGCCCTTCTCAACCAGGGTTCCTATAAAGGTTACTAAGGGTTCCTTGAGCCATGGTTTATTGACCATACATCTGATGGTGCCTACATTGTGACCATCACTATAAGGAGTGCATTCATCCCACTGACCACCAGTGTAAGGGGCATTCTTCCCATTGTCTACCAAAAAAATTGATTTTAGCAAGGGTTCCCTGAGACCCATGGCTAGCAACTTCTGTGCTCCATTCTGAATATGAGGTTGGCCACTGGGCATTGGTGCCATTCACATATCACTTTGCATTTTCTCAGTGAATGAAAAGAGTTCTCTGATTGGACGAGGTGGAGAAGTAGAGTGGTGATACCAAGCTCTCCATCTTGTTCAATCAGAGAATACTTTGCATTCATTGAGAAAATGCAAAGCATTCTTTGAATGGTGCCCATGCCCAGAGACCGACCTTCTGTGTTCAGAATGCAGCAGGGCAGCCTCCCAGCATGGGATCCAGAAGCAAGTGGAGATCATTATAGGGGTGCCGACTACAGTGAATTCCAGTCCTAGAGGGATCCCACAGGTATGATATATGCATAGCTAAATTGGTCAGAGCAGGACAATTTTAACTATGTAAAAATATCCATACCTGGAATTCTTCTTTAGATTCTCCCTTACAGATTGGGGTTGCCCTTGCACTGTAAGAGTTTAATGCTCATCTATGTTTATCGGATGGGAAAAGCAGTTATACTTACTCGATCCTCCTCTAACCCAGAAAATTAATTCTGCTCCGGTGGCTCTTAGACTGGCTCTTGAAGTCCTCATGTCCAATGCAGAACCATGGGCCCTGCATTGGTCTTGATGATGTCAAAGAACATCTGACTGCTGGAGTGCAGGAGAGAAGAGACTGCTGGGACCAGTCTAGCAGTGCAAAGGAGCCTACAGGAGCAGAGGATCAGGGAAGTAAATCTGCTTTTCCACGTCTCAAGACATAAACAAGCAAATGAGGGTTTTTATTTTTCCTGGAGTTCAGATTTAACCTCGGCCACATGCAAATGTGCAGTCTCCCGGTGTCTGGCCCGTGACGCCGAGCGGCTGCACATTTGCATGCAATTAAGAAAAACATATGTGCTGAGAGCGTGCGACCTGTGCGCTCCCAGCACACATGTCCATTACTCACGGAAATGTCTCGATCTCCTCTTTCGATCGGGACCTTTCCCGATAATGTGACCGCCGTGACGGCGAATCAAGGCAGGCACATGACCCTAAAACCCCACCTCCCGGCATCTGAAAGTCTTAAAGGGCCGGGAGGCACCGGTGCCAAGGGGTTAAAATACAACTTCATCTTTGATGCAGT